GTCTAGTGGAGCGAATCAGCGGACTCGGTCACCACATCTACATGGACAACTATTACACGTCTCCAGCACTCTTCTCGCGGCTCCGGTCACTTGGATTCGGAGCATGTGGAACTCTGCGACTGACTCGACGTGGAGTTCCTGCAGAGGCGAAGTCGAGGTTGGAGAAAGGAGAGAGGCGTCTGGTTCCCGTAGACGAGGGGATGAGTGTGGTACAGTGGCATGACAAACGAGTTGTGTCTGTCCTGTCCACAATTCACGATGACACACCTGTGCCGGTCGAACGACGATCGAGACGTGCTCCTGGTGGGCGGGAAACAGTGGAGAAGCCGCGGGCAGTGGTTGAGTACAACAAGTACATGGGCGGTGTCGACCGTGGTGATCAGCTGCTGTCCTACTACGGTTATCCCCATCGTACCCGCAAGTGGTGGAGGCGAGCTTTTTTCTTCCTGTTTGACGCAGCTGTAGTCAACAGCTACACACTCTATCGTCAGAAACAACAAGGAGGTCGCACTCTCACACACGAGCAGTTTAGAATCGCACTAGCGAAAGACCTCCTTGCAGCTGCTAACAGCCCGTCACAGGCACCACCTTCCTCTGGTTCTTCTTCCTCGCGTGGACACCGGCAAGAGGTTCTCAATCCTCAGTCTCGTCTGCACGAGCGACATTTTCCTGGCCAGCTGGGGAAGACAGCAACTGGAAAACAGATCCAGCATGACTGCACTGTTTGCAGCAAGCGTAAGGGCCGAGGGAGAAAGACGACAACGTTCTGCTGCAAACAATGCCAGCTCCCGATGTGTGTGGTGCCGTGCTTCGAACTTCACCATACCAAAACAGACCCACAACGTTACCTGTAGTCCCCCAGCGTTACCTGTAGTCGAATAGCGTTATTATGTTGAAGTATGTGTACATAAATGATGACAATATTGAATTCAAGGACATACCGCTTGAAGGGGGCGCGTCTCCTTGCTTTGAATCACAGTCATCACGACTCTTTGGCAGGTAGGCTTGTCACAGATTCATCAGAGAAGGCTTAGCGGCACGTGGAGCGCCTACTTGAGTACTACACGTGTCCCAAAGACGGTTCAGTGCGAAGAACCCGCACGCGTGTGTGCGCGAGCGGACACCCGTGGCGGCACGCGTAATAATTACGTAACCGCGGCGCGCGCCAAAAGAGTTAAGATATATGTTGTGAAGCTACTATTTTAGCACTTTGATGCCAAGCATAGAGACTATAAAACGTCTAGAAAAAAGTTTACGCGGGATTAGTAGCTAACCATCAATGTATTAGCACATTGTTGTGGGCTTAATAAGTTAGTGTACTCTGAGTGGTGTAGGTTGGATATTGTGGTGCTGCTACTTCTTTTGTAACTGTAGTGGCTGGTAGATATACAGTAACATTATAATTCTTCAGAACTGTCATTTCCATCTCCAAACACACTTCGCATGATGTCGCTTACTTCGGCTTCCAATGCCTGTCTTTCATCAATGCTTGCATCACTGTCACTCTCACTGTCCTCGTAATCAGCTGTGTTATGCTCCCCTTCTTTCCCACCCCTGATCCCTTGTGTTTGGGAGACACTCTGAGGGAGGTTGACACATTCATTACACTGACAACCCATGATGCAACTCTGTCCTTGTCGCTTGCATCCGCATGCATTAGTTATACACCCTTTGGTGCATCTGCAAGGAGGCCTTGAACTCTGGTTTTGACCCTCTGGATATTTTCGGCACTATCCCAGTCAAATTCAAGTTTTTCTGTAGGCCCATACCGCAAGTTGAGCAGTGGGTTTGAGTCGGCCTATGTGTGTTATACACGATATGATAATGATGCAAAGGGGTGGGGCTGTGTCTGACAGTGAGGGGGTATTCTCTCCAGCTAATTCAAGGCACTGGATTATGTCAGACATGGGGAGGTTACATTTGCTAAAAAACTTGTTTCTACACAGTGGTATTGAACAGCCACTGATCTTCTCCTTTTCCCACCTAGGGCAGTGACAAGGATCTTTCTTGAGGCGGGAAATGTCTTTGCGACAAGGAAGACAGACCAAGCTGGCATCAGTGATGCCCAGTGTTGTGACCAGCTCCATACAAGATTCATCCCTCCATGAGACGGGCGTAGATAGATTTGTGTGTATTTGATTGCATAAACTGCATGCTGTAGCTGGCTGGCTTACTTGTGGTGTAGTGAATGCCAGCCGTCTTTTGCTTGAGCCTCTAACTGTGTTTTGCTATATATATTTTTCATGAATCTTTCATTATATTGGCTTACTAACTGCTACAGCGCTTATACAACGTCTTCCTTGAGGTTTCTGCTGTTTGCGCAACTAATTATATACACGTTGTTGTGGCCTAAAATAATAAATTCATATCTTTTATACGGCGCCCGGGAACAAGCTCAAGTTTTTTGCTTACATGCTCCAATCAAGCGGCATTAGCCTGAAAAATATTGACTGAGCTGGATGCTTCAGAAAAATGTGACGCAGTCCTGCAAACGTGTCGGATGTTGAGTATGGTCCGTTTCATCCGGTGTCGCGGTACATTTCATCCCCCGAATTTACCCGGGCGCGATAGGTATTCTATCCCCCGGATTAAAATTTCCTAGGATATTTATCCGCACGGGCTATTTATACCCCGTTTGCTGTGCGTTAATTAGGTTTCGAAACGCAGGCGAGGGCGGGGTGGGTGTTATTTTGGGGTTTGTGGGGATTTGAACGTGTACAGAATGCGATGATTAGCTTGTTTGGAGTTACACAGCGGACTGTAGAACACTTACGGATATCCCAGCGAGGTGTGGAGCTCAGGTTTCGCAGGTGAAGGCGACAGACCCGCGCAACCGCTGGTTCCGCAGAGAAACAGCGTGACGCGTGCAGATTTCCTCTGTATTGAGCGCGCGGCGCCAACAAAAATGTCCCGCGCGTTAGAGCGCAACGTTGGCATTAAAATTTTCTTATTAGAGGGATAAAATATCCGGACCCAGGATATTCCACACTAAGGTCTTATCGGCCGGATAGAAATAACTATCCCGGATAAAATATACGGGGGAAAAAATAAACTGTGACAAGGTTCGTGCAGGACGTTTATGAGGGAAGTGAAAGGGAACGCCTCTTATGCATAGTTTAGAGTTAGCGAGGGTAGGGTACTCGATCATGTCCAAAAGCGGTTATATGAACAGAGAATGGAAAGGTAGAGGTAGGTGAATATGTAATTGAGGAGAGAGCCAGAGCTTGCTCTAACGCGCTTGGCGCCGGGGTACGCGCAAATAAAAATGTATGCGTACTATAGGACTTCCGGTTCTTTGGCGGAGAACGAGTAACTCTGGATACGCCATGCAGTCTGTACGTCGATCTACAGGTCAAAGTGGAGTGGGCGTGGCTGTTTCCTTTGTTTACCAGACCGGCCCTCTCATTGAAGATGGCCGACTCCCGGGAGATAGTGGCACTTCGTACGAATCTCACTTCCATCACTGACACAGTGACGGTCGGCGGCAATCTACAATGGTTTGCAAACGGTCTCGTGGAGAGAGGATTCATTCCCAGGAGAGAGGCACAAGATATACTCTATGTACAGGGAGCCACGCCCGCAAGAATGGTTGGCCAGCTCATGGACAGCGTGTTTGTTGTATTGCACTTGACAAATGAGAAGAGACGCTGGTTTGATGAGTTCGTCTCAATTTTTTCTACCGAAAAAGCGTACGCTGAGCTTGTGGCAAAATTAAAACATCGCTTCAACGACAAAGGAGCTGACAACATCCTCCCAACCAGCCAGCGGACTCACTGCCAGCGACCAACTCAATTTTGCGACCTGCTGGGGTGCTAACTTCTCAGCCTACTGCTTCTCATCCACTCCCTACAAAACCATTATTGCATTCTTTGGCCAATCCCTTTATGCAATTGTTCGATCTCACCTCCGCTCCGGAAAGTGAGGGTACTCCTGCTGCCCCCACCCCTTCATCCACTGCACCAGCCACTGGCTCTGTGGATTCCCCTGCCCCATCATCCTCCACCACGTCCTCTTTACCTCCCGTCCCTCCTCCACCCTCCCCCCACCACCCTTCCGACCCCTCCTTCTGGAGTGTGGGGAAAGTCAAGTCCACCATTCAGGAGCTTAAAAAAAATTTCTCAGAGCTGTATGCGGCTGTTGTGACCGAAATGAGCAACAAAGAATCTAAAAATAGAGCCATTTTGGAGGAGCTTCGCTGCCATCTTCTGCTCTTACCCGTTCGTAAAGCAACCCTCCATGTCAAATTCTTTGACACATTTGAAGATGATATCCTTGAAGCAAAAGATACTCGAAAGATAATGGGCATACTCTGTCGCTATATCGATTATCGCAACAATGAGATATTTCTACATATTACAATTGATTTCTGCGAAGAAGAACTGCAAAAGCGAATGAAAAACTTTTGTGAATTGCTCGAGGAGTTCGAAATTGCAACAACCGTAGATGTGTACAAAAAGGCGATACCAAATGAAGCCAATGAAAAAGTAGTTAAAGGTTTCTCGGAAATGGTCTTGAAGATTGACAAGCACGAATCACAATGTACCCTTCATGAAGTCCGAAAGCTCAACAAGGCGATCATCGCAGAGTCAACTCTCTGCTCCCACAGCGTCTACATTGGAGCAGTGTCCATAAACTGTGTGGTGGTTAGGCTTAGTTTTCCTTCCAGTGCTGTGGGCTGGGTGCTAGCAGCCATCACTCCCGACTTCATGACTACACATCGTCTCACAGGGGTGTCGGTGGATGGCCATCAACTATCCCTTATACAGGCCCAGAGATATGAATTGGTATGCAAGTTGCAAGTTATATACACCGTAATTAAAGTCTATTCGTGTTCATCTGAGGGATGCAAACAAGCTCCCACTGTGCTATCACGAAATATGGTAGTACTTAGTATATAAGGATGGGCATGGTACCTAGCATCATAGATGTATGAGGCTATGATAGGGAGTTTTGTTCATTATCTCCTTCTTCCTGTTGAACCAGCATAACTCAAAAACCGAAAAAGCCATGAAATTTTGTAGGAATGTACATATCCATAACTACATGTGCATCGTCATACTTTTTTGTTTGTAAACAATGTTGTTTACTGTAAAATTGCCCCAGGCAATACATTATACATTAATGGGCATACTAGATATGTCGGTGTAACTCACAATTGGTAAGAGCCATGTGAAATAAAGTTTGTACAAGTAAATTAAAGATCCTGCGAATTTAATAGGGATGGTATAAAAAGAAAAGGAGACAAGATAGGGATGGGATACATGAAGCATGGTTAATGAACAGATCTGAGTACGCTGACACCCCCAACCCCATCACACAATCCCTATATTGTTGCCTAGGTGAAGTATTAAACATTCATCAAAACACTACTGAGTAACCAATACCCTTATAGAGTCCAAGCAGAGTTTAATTAAAGGGAATGTGGCAGTATAAATGTTACTAAAAACAACAGGGACACGGTGAAAGAATGCTTGCTTTTAGTACCTTTAGCCCCTATAAGTGTAGTACAACCAGGCAAACAATATAGGATTATGGGATGGTGGTTGGGGGTGTCAGCGTACTCATTACCATGCTATCATGTATCCCATCCTATCTTGTCTCCCTTTCTTTTATACCATCCCTATATGCCTTTTTTTTTAAATTCGCAGGATTTTTAATTTACTTGTCTCCACTCATTTTTATATACTACTACGTATTATCTCTGTGGAAGGGGGCAAGCCCCTAAAAAAATATATAATACTAGAGAAAAAATGGCTGTTGTCGTCATTAAAGAAAGTGCCTGAGGCTATTTGTTTTTGTGATCGTCATGGAAACGATGTAATACACATGCGCACCAAGTTTTCACCAAATTGTAGCTACATACAGATGCGCATTACTCAACAGTGACATGTAGTGCTCATACACAGCAGCTACATGACACCAGAAAACGATTCCGAGGAACATATATACCTGTGTGCACCATCCCTATATCTTTGTTCGATATTAAACTTTCCTTATGAACAATAAAACAAAGATATAGGGATGGTGTCATGTAGCTTTGTGCATCTTAGCTGTGTAATGAGCCTTTGTTTCTTCCTTTTTGGTGCTTCAAGACATCCCCTTTCATTTGAAGAAATGATTTTTCTCTTGTTTCCACTATATATAGATCCGCCGCGCGCAATGAGTTAACAGCTTATGACAACACTGCATTTTATTGTTACAGTCACTCTGATGTTCATGGGTATGTTGTAGATAGGTTACCAAGGACAAACTCTAATTGTTCAAAGGGGTAGCTAAGGGGCTGCTACAGGAGTTAGATACACTACTAACTTCAGGTATTGTCTTCCAGAAGGATGTAATTAGGTTATGGCACATTGTTGTGGTTTCATGGGCAGGCTTTGGTAATCAGGGCTACAACCTGGGGGAGGGGGGGACAAATGAAGGCCCCTTTTTTGCACCTGGCAATGCTCGCTTAACACCGCGCTGACTCTGCCAACCGTGTAAATCATCAGCAAAACGCAAGCTAGCCAGTTGGAAACGTGCACACTGACTTACAGAAGGCACTGGAGGCTAAGAGTTCCTCTGCAGGTCTGTCAACTCGCTTGATAACAATACGCGTGCGCAGCACATTCGACAACGCCTCTGCATGGCACATGCGCGCGGCTTACTGACGCTGAGTTAGCAGCAAATGGCGTTGTTCAGTGCCGACCATGGAAGAGCTCCATGATCTATCGTAGTGACTTACGGTAAGAAAGAAACGATCGCTTGATATCCGTGAACACCTCTGGCGAAATTAGAGACGTTCAGTGACAATATCAGCGCTTCAACTGGTTCTGGTAATGAGATAGCAGGATTGAAGAAGAAGAAGAATATGATGATGATGATGACACGAAAATCGTGAAGTCGCGTATGAACGAAGTCTCGCGTGGAGAACTGAAGGTGCGTATGAGGTCTTTGGGAACATGAAAAGGTAGATATGGGCCCGTAGACTATTGCTAGTGTGTTTTGAAGGCCTAGTTTTTAGTTGTTTTGTACGCGGATCACGTGAGATATCACTCGTGCCATCCCTATATAGAGCGTCTACTGACGCTCTAATAATTTCGATGAGGATAACATGTTTCCATGACGTCAGCATATTGTTTGAAAAAGCCTTAGGCAGTTCTGAATAAAATTACTTCTTCACTCCTCAAACTTGCTAACGGCAGCACACATGGAGATGAAACTTGGTACACATGCATGTTACATCATTTTCATGACGAAAAGAGGCATTTTTCTCTATTATTATTAATTTAATAGAGGGCTTGCCCCCTTTCACAGAGATATACATAGTAGTATATAAAAATGAGTGGAGACAAGTAAATAAAAAACTCCTGCGAATTTTTAAAAGAGGCATAGCTATAGGGATGGTATAAAAAGAAAGGGAGACAAGATAATTGGATGGGATACATGAAGCATGGTTAATGAACATATTTGAGCATGCTGGCACCCCCTACCCCATCACACAATCCCTCTATTGTTGCCTAGGTGAAGTATTTAACATTCACCATTAATATACTCAGAACTTATAATACGAAAAAGTCTTGCTACTGAGTAACCAACACCATATAGAGCCCATGTGGAATTTAATTAAAGGGGCTGTGGCAGTATAAAAGTAGAAATGTTATTAAAAACAACGGGGGGACGGTGAAAGAATGCTTGCTTTAATGCCACATTCCCTATAAGAGTAGGACACCTGGCTACATTATAGGGATTGTGTGATGGGGTTGGGGTTGTCAGCGTGCTCAAATCTGTTCATTAACCAATAACCCTCGCTGCGCATGCGAAGTTAATGATGACGATGAATAAAACTCACTATCATAGCCCCATACATCTATGATGATAGGTACTATGCCCATCCCTATCACTAAGTAAGGTGGTACTTAGTATATAGGGATGACACAGGTTGTCCTGCATTATGCCCATACATTAGAGATTTTCATGTTTCACTTCAGTTTTAACCAAATCCAACTTTTTACACATAAGACTGATCCGTATCATTACTTGTACAAACTTTTATAATGTGTTTGTGCCAATAAACTTTCTTATGGTGGGTCCTCTAACAATGCACTGATGTACCATGGTGAGAGTTCATCGAAACAGAAATTACAAGCTTGTAAACTACAAAAACCAGCCTCAGGCAATAAATACTTGTAAATGATGTTTCTGCCTATAACTTGCTACTGTGGGTCCTCTAACAATGAAACTTTGTACACTGATTTACCATGTAAAGAGTTCATCGAAACAGAAATTACAAATTTGTAAACAACATCAAACAACCCAAGGCGATAAAAACTTGGAAATGGTGTTTGTGCCTCTAACTTGCTCATGGTTGGTCCAGCTTGGTAAACTGATGTAAACAACAACAAACAGCCTGAGGCAAAAAAGATTTTTAAATGGTGTCAGTGCCTATAACTTGCTTATGATAGCTCCTCTCACAATGAAACTTGGTGCACTGATGTAATGTGAATGACGACAAAACATCTGAGGTGATAGCTTAGGCCACTAATGCTACTTTATTTATGGGCTTATGCCCAATACTATCCACATTTATTGCACACGATGTACCATGTGATGCCAAGAGAAAAAAGATGCGGAGCTCTGGACAGCTTTTTCGAGCTTGTTGGCCCTCATCAGCAGAGCATACCGCAACTTCTCTCTCGGGAATCACGAGTTTATAAAGTCTGCCATGAGCGCAGCACTTGTGGTTTTGAACTAATGCGAATCATCGCCACAAGGCATTGCTCAGGCTACCTGGAGCGCAGCGCTTGTGGTTCTGAACTAATGAGTTTCATCCCCACAAGGCTTTGCCACTGGTATGTGCTGACCCTGCCCAAACATTCGTGGTTTGGGGCCTAGGCCCCTCCCCACTCCTGCTGGTCAAGGTCAGCACCGAGCCAAAACTCGAATTCAAAATACTGGCATAGTGGATTGGGCCGCAGCAATGAAGCCAGCGAGCACCCATATCCAGCCAGTGCATACACATGTAGAAAATACCATGTGATGCCATGCATGTGAATGCAGTAAAGAAGGAAAGGAGACAAGTAGATAAAAATTCTTCGAATTAAAAAAGAGTGGAATATAGGAATGCCATAGAAAGCAAGGAGATAAGACAGGGATGACCAAGTGAACGTGATGCAGTAATACAATGGATGATGGCTATATACATACTTTGAACTGACATCGCTTGCTCGTGTAAAATTTCCTCCACACAAGCCTTATATTGTCGCCACCTTTACTGTTTAGTGAAGTGGGAGGACAATGGTGAAAGGATTCTGTATGTAGATGGCCAAGAACACAGCATTGTAAAACTGGTTAGTTGAGCAAATGTAGAAGTCGTAGACTTCACACAATACAGTCACAACTGAAAACCGAGCAGATGGCATTATCTGTCTAGTGCTTATGAAAACATCATAGATGTGCATCATACAAGGGAGCACACTCGTACTTCGCGACAATATAGGGCTTGTGTGGAGGAATTTTTACACGAGCAATCGATGTCAGTTCAAAGTATATAGCTATGATCCATTGTACTTCCGCATCACGTTCACCAGGTCGTCCCTATCTTATCTCCTTGCTTTTTATGGCATCCCTATATTCCACACTTTTTTAATTCGATGAATATACTTGTCGATATATGAGTTCTTATGCTACATGACAGAGTACTCTGACTCAAGTGGGCAGGAGCATAGTTCAAAAACGTTGGCAGAGATAGCTTTCTTCACCAGGTTACTTCAGCACACTCATTATGGTTATTTTTGCTCTACAGAACGATGAGCTGATTATTGCTGGTAGAGCAGGACAAGTGATGAGAGCTGCGTCTCTTCTCAACAGTGGAGCTGATATCCAGATTAAGGACCATGTATGTTACAATTTAACCACTGAAAGGTTCACCTTCTCTATCAGTAATGGATGTGCACTGTAGATGATACTTATCCATCTAACAAAGTTATTACGTTGTTTCATAATTTGGCATTCTCTTGTCACACATGGATATTTCTCATCAAAGTTTGTAGGTGTGTGTCCTAGCCCGAAGTTACATGAAAAGCAGCAACCCATCTTACATACCTCCTTTTAGCTACAGTACACATGTTCAACCACAGAAATTACCCATAGAAGTTATGGCATTAATAGTTCTTTTGTTAGTTCCACACATCATGATACTGCTGTCTTGGTTCTCGTCAGGTCTTTTGGACTGCATTGGACTGGGCTAATCAGTATGGTCATCTCCAAGTGGTTCGTCTTATGATATCAAGAGGAGCTCAGCTGAACCACCAGGATGAGGTTAGACAGTTTCTAAGGGTGAACCTCTCCACTGATGATCATGTCCGGCTATAGTACTTGCGCGAAGAAATGGTAAATGTGCGCATGTGTCGTCATCAATGTTTAAGTCGATAGCATGCTTGAAGAGCTTCACAAGTTGGTATATTTGTCAGATTTGTTCACAAACCATATTCCTTCTCCATAAATTCTTGTAATCGTGTCTGATATGGGCGAGAGACATGTAGTGCCGCGCACCAAGTAACCGACCTGTCCATCGCACAAAATCTGATTCTCTCAGGCAATACCGTCTATAAGTACATCGACCTCCACGTGTACAATAAAATGGTATCACGTGCACAACGAATGTTTTAGAATCAGACATACACTAAAGTGCTGTTGATACAGGTAGTCACATAATACAGCGAACATATATAGGTTACACTATACCCACGAGACGGTTTAGTGGACATACACTACGTGCGCAGCATGAGTAGTGTATGCACTAAACCGTCGAGTGGGTGTAGTGTAACCAATTTGTACCACAGGAATGCGCACTAAGACAACTTATTAGTATGCATGCCATGGTGTATGGTGTGCTGACTCAGCCATACACCCCACATGTGAGTGTATGGCTGAGTCAGCACACCATACACCATGGCATGCATACTAATAAGTTGTCTTAGTGCGCATACACTGCGTGCGATGCCTTTGATTTCTAGGGCTTCTGTGGTACAAACAGCATAACACCATGTTACATTCTCTATGGTAGAGAAACCCATTGCGTAACTTCAGTGCTAGCAGACTCAACAGACATGTTTTTTGTCCCACAGTTTGGACACTCGGCATTGATGACGGCGGCTAATAATGGTCACACTAATGTTGTGGTGGAGCTGGTGAAAGCAGGAGCTAAGTTGGACATACAGAATAAGGTCTGCAGCTACATTTATATATAGGTCACACACCTAACCTGCATATAATGTTCCCATCTGTTTCCTAACTTCATAAGACAATAGAGGCTACATAATATGCGGCCATTAGAGGTTGACCAATGTCCATAGAAATAATATGTGGAAGTGCTGCCCCTTCCTTTTTTGAAACTTGAGTAAAAATTCACTTCTGGGTCTGAAGTTACACCTCTTGGACCCTCTTCATCATAATCTGCGGAAATTAATCCCTTCTCACCAGAATGGAGACACAGCAGTCATAATAGCTGTAGAGAGATATTATCCAGTCATTCTGAGGGAGCTAGTGAGGGCAGGGAGTGACCTCAACCTCCAGAACAATGTGAGATAAACAGTTACTGTGGACACTGCACCACATGTCACCCCAGTACTCCATATTAGGAGGGACTCACTCCACTAATGATAGCTGCCAGGAGTTGGAGAACTTACATTACTGACATTACTAACATTCTACTAGAGGGAGAACACATCAACCTGGACATTCAGGAAAAGGTGAGCACTCCCTGAACGGGTGAAGCCAGCAGTATAATTCTAAGGCTGTCACCTGAGTTGCTGTAACTACTCTATCATAATACAGGGAACAGGGTGTTCAGCCCTCCACTTCTCTGCTCAGGGAGGAAACTCAGCTACCACAGAAGCACTGCTTAAGGCAGGAGCTAATGCTAACCTCAAAGACAAGGTTTGGGAATCTACTACAAACCCTTACTTTCTCCTCCACGGCCCCACCTAGTCCATTTTAGTTTCACTGCGTGGTAAAGGTGCCGTTTTAGACATGTACTGGTTACCTTAGAAACAGTAACGTGTGCTAGGAATCTACGGCAAACTACTCGAGGCTAAATTGCGGTCGGGCATGCCCCCTTATTGCATAGTGGTTGACCTGGGAGTGCGCAACGGACCCAATGCTCGTGCAAGGTATGCAAGTTCCTTCACACTCTCTCTAGGTGCTAGGTCCGAAGCATCTCAGACTCTTTCATATTCCTTCTCCATACGCTTTCTATGGTAGAGAAAACCAGTACCTGACTTCACCGCTAGCGGAAAGTTACTCACCATTATGTGCAGTGGCGTTCCCATTCGTGCAGACAATATCCACGTGTAATGTGCAGGACCACATAAAGCATGGGCATGGCACAGTTCTGTGTTTTTCTCACCTTTGCCACTCATTGGCCATGCCCAGTTTTTGGATATGAATGTTAGTTTGTAACAATTATCCCAGACATTTAAGCTGTGCTACAGAAACATTAAAGCTGTTTATGACATGTGCACATGCATGGTTTGTATGCTCGAGCATTCATGACCAGCAAAATATTGAAAAACAAAGATGTAAGAATGGGGTTATGAATGACTTTCTGTCGCGGTGTAGGCATCTTCTTGTTCCCTTCTTTTCCATGATGTGACATCCCTACATCCCCGTTTATTTCTTTTTCCACTTGGGCAACACAGCAGCACACACAGTCACTGCTACTGGCATGTCCTTTTATCACACAGGCTTGGAACTCAGCACTGACTCTAGCAGCCTGGCATGGCCACACTAATGTTGTTGTGGAGCTGGTAAAAGCAGAAGCCAAGTTGGACCTACAGAATAACGTAAGCAATTTTTAATTACTTTATTGTGCAATCATTACTACTTTATCAGGATGGGAACTCAGCAGTGATGCTAGCAACGAGAGGTGGATACCCGAATGTTGTTGAGGAGTTGGCAAAGGCAGGAGCCAATGTGGACCTTCAGAATAAGGTGCAGAACTGCATTAGCCACTCCAATACCTCTCAGAAAAAAGAGCTACTTTGACAAACATTGTCACACAAAGGGCATAGAGAGGTTATACCCTACTTAATGCCACCACAGGTGCTTAATACTTTAATAAAAAACATTATTTCACACAGACTCCAGCTACCATGTCTGAGACAGCCTGTTTTTGAATATATGGTGTCCTTTTTTTGCTACCATCTTTTTTATCATTAGACTGATGACTCTGCCTTGACTATAGCAGCCATGTGTCATAGTCACACTGATATTGTTGTGGAGCTGGTGAAAGCAGGAGCCAATTTGGACCTTCAGAATAAAGTCTGTAATGTTTCATTATTGCTTAACAGACTTTTTTTTGTCACACAGTTCAGAGACTCAGCACTAATAATGGCGGCTAATAATGGCCACACTAATGTTGCTGTGGAGCTGGTGAAAGCAGGAGCTAAGTTGGACCTACATAATAAGGTGGAAAGCTAGCCACTCCTACCCCGCTCGGATAAAAGAGTAGCCCTGACAAACTTTGCACACTTATTGTCATACAGATTTCAACATAATTGTACCTCAATTAAATGGCACCGCAGACGCTTAGTAAAAGGTTTCTAGAAAACAAAACTGCCACCATGTGTTTATAATAGCCTGGTCTATGGTGTGCTTGTTTTATTGCTGACATGTCCTTTTATCATACAGGATGGTGACTCTGCCTTGACTGTAGCAGCCTGGCGTGGCCACACTGATGTGGCTGTGGAGCTGGTGAAAGCTGGAGCCAGTATAGACCTTCAATATGATGTGATGAAAGATGTTGATGTAGTGTTATTATTGCTACACATACATGTTATTTTTCCCACAGTTTGGAGACTCAGCACTAATGATGGCAGCTAAAAATGGTCACACTAATGTTGTGGTGGAGCTGGTGAAAGCAGGAGCTAAGTTGGATCTACAGAATAAGGTGCTAAACTAGATTAGCCACTCATACCCTTCTCAGAAAGAACAGTTGCCCTCATACTTACATGCACACTCGTTGTTACACTAAACACATAGATTTCAACATAATATACGAGGTATATACCTTTTCTTAATGGCATCACAGACACTTAGTAAACCTGCTGTAAGTTACTAGAAAACATGTTTTACCACAGCACCATTTTTTTGTAACAGCCTGTTCTATGGTGTCCTTGTTTTGCTACTGACATGTCCTTTTATCATACGGGGTGGTGACTCTGCCTTGACTCTAGCAGCCTGGCGTGGTCATACTAGTATTGTTGTGGAGCTGGTGAAAGCAGGAGCCAGTATAGACCTTCAAAATAATGTAATGAAAAATGTCGACATAGTGTTACACAGACTTGTTTTTGTCACACAGTTAGGAGACTCAGCACTAACGATGGCAGCTAAAAATGGTCATGCTAATGTTGCTGTGGAGCTGATGAAAGCAGGAGCTAAGTTGGACCTACAGAATAAGGTCTGCAGCTCCATCTAACCACTCCTACATATGGGTCGCGCACTTAACCTGCATATACTGTAATGTTCTCATCCGTTTCCTAAGTTTCTCCTAAAAAGATTGAGGCTGCATATGCGGCGATTACAGGTTGTCCAATGTTGAGTCCATAAAATAATATTTGGAAGTGCTGCTCCTTCCCTTTTTGAAACTTGAGTCAAATCCACTTCTGGGCCAGAAGTTAAACTTGCACCTCTTTGACCCTCTTCATTATAATCTGCGGAAATCTATTCCTTCTCACCAGAATGGAGACACAGCAGTCATAATGGCTGTAGAGAGATATATACCAGCTACTCTGAGGGAGCTAGTGAGGGCAGGGAGTGACCTCAACCTACAGAACAATGTGAGATACACAGTTACTGTGGATACTGCACCACATATCATCTCCAGTCCTCCATATTAGGAGGGACTCACTCCACTAATGATAGCTGCCAGGAGTTGGAGAATTGACATTACTGACATTACTAACATTTTACTAGAGGGAGAACACTTCAACCTGGACTACCAGGAGAAGGTGAGAACCCACTGAGTTGCTGTAACTACTCTCTTATATATAATACAGGGAGCAGGATGGTCAGCCCTCCACTTCTTTGCTGAGAGAGGAGACTTGGCTACCACAGAAGCACTGCTCAAGGCAGGAGCTAATCCTCACCTCAAAGACAAGGTTTGGGAATCTACAATATTTCTCATCCACGAGCCCACCTAGTAATTTCTGTTTCACGGTGTGGTTAAGGTAGCTTTTAATGTATTGGTCTCTTCTTTTCTGGTGAAGAATGGGGTAACAGCAATGAAGATTACTAAACAAGGAGCTAAATTTGGCCTTGTGTCCATGAAAGTGGCAATGAGAGAGATGATGGCTCTACCCAGCCGTTATGCTCATCAGGTATGCTCTATAGGCAGATATCAAACCTTATCAGAGCACTACTTACATATGCTCCATAAGAAAAGTATGCCAAGGGTGCATGGTACTAAAGTGCAAACCCTCGGCGAACTGCGCATGTGCAATACCGCTAATTGATGGGCTGGGCTATTAGTATGCGTTTATGTGTGGTCACAGGCTAGCTACAGTAGAAGATATCATGTTGCAGTTGATACACATTCGTTGTTACTTCTTGTGCCTCCAAGGTATATACATAGAGCAAGCGGACCCGGTCGAGGTAAGCCTGTGCTTGCATATTGGCTTGTTCACTTGGTTTTCACGCCATATCTTTTGAACGCAGTAATTATGCTTTTTTACCAGTGTGGCGATAGTGACCCTTATGCGCACGCATAAACGCATGTGTGAGGGAGGGAGTGAAGGTATATTATACAAACGTTTTCAGGTTAGTTGTCCGAACATATTTTGCACATGCGCGCTTTGGTCGTGGGAACACCACCAGTGAAGTAAGTATGCCCGTCGCATTTTCTGTGGACCTTCGTTGGAGAGCTATCTGGATGTATACCGCAGTCCAACTCTCTGTCCATGATATTTCCAGCACACTGTGTGTGTCCGAGGGCACTATTCGACAATACATCAACATGTTTGAACAAACAGGAGCCGTTCAACTGAGAAGACAACAACGTGGGCCGTCTAAGTTACTTGGAGACTACGAGCAGCTTGTATTACTTAGGATAATCGGTGAAAATACAGGTATCTACTTGTCTGAAATTCAAGAAAAGCTTCGGCTTCACTTTGGTGTAAATTTCAGTGCCGCAACCATTTGTACGACCCTGAAATTCATGGGTTGCACCAGATAAGTACGTAATTCAACACATAGCGCTACAGCACAGTGAGGAGTGTAGAGCAAATTCATGTCGGAAGTATCAGTCTGTGATCCTTCAATGCTCATACGGATTGATGACAGTGGCTGTGACAAACGGAATTCTGTAAGAAAAGTATCATACAGCATTCGAGGTCTAACACCCCGAGATCAGGGACTCCTCATCCAAGCAATACCAGAATTGTGAACTGAAGGCATCCATGATGTGTATCTCTGTGCGGATAACGTAACTGGTGAGAAGTTTTCAGCATTTCTTCAGCGTTTTTTACAGGGATTTATTCAACCATTTAACTGGACCAATCCCCACTCAGTGATAATTATGGACACCAATCCATCATGTGGATGAAGTGGTTGACATCATAGAACACCAGTGGAAAGCACGTATCCTTTTTCTTCTACCATACTCCAAACTTAAACCCGGCAGAAGAGGTATTCAGCAAGGTCAAGAAAATCATGAAGCAGAATGATTCATTGCTTCAAGCTTGCAATAATGAGGAAATGGGGGTGTTTCTTACTATGGCCTTTAGTATTGTTACTCAAGAAGATTGTATAGGAACATTACACGCAGTGGATACACATTATTCTATCAGAAATCAAAACCATGTACAAAAGATTATTCATAGTAACATTGTTCAGTTGTTCAGAACTTTTTACTGTCATTTAGCTCTCATTTCCTTACACAAACCAAGGATGCACTCATTGGCTGTTTCATAGTGTTCCTCGGTAAGAATTCCAGAGCTATGGACGTTACGAAGTTGCTTATACGTACGGCTTGGAACAATAATCTACTACCCGCGCTGGACTATGACATGCAGCATTAGCTTTAGGGGTAGCTGGTGAGATTGCAGAAGCAATTGTCGATGCTGCATCTGCTAAGGCCAGTGCTACAGGGACAGGTTGGTCCTTTTTTGATGGCGTACTTCCTCCAATAACCATTGATGTGTTAGGAACATCAACCATGGACACATGCATCCCACTATTAACCATTTCAGCCCATGTGCATAGTTGCATATAGTTGTATACTTTGTTGAGTGTTTCTGCTTAAGCTCATCAAAAATCTCCTGGACTTTATCTTCAGGCTCGAGTGTTTTCTTGGTATAAGAAGCTTCATCAGCATCACCTAATGTTCTCTTTCGTCCTTGTTTTAATAAAAGTAAAAGGCCATCACACCACAAGGCAACCTTGCTCTTAGTGCTTAGCATACCCCACATTTCAGCTAAGTCATGTGGGTTCCTTATTCTGTCAAGGTTTGATCCTTGAAGAAACCCAATATCAAAATCATGAATAGATGCAACAATATCATCGCTAAGCTCCTCTTTAGTGAGGGCTTTTAGTGCCTCACATGAAGATACAGCAGAAGTATTTATATTTCTTAGTGTAAACACCTTTCCCTCATTCTTCCCTGTGGTACCTTTGTGAACGGCTCTAAGTAAAACACGTTGAAACACTTGACACACACGTGATGATGCTGCACACAGAGAAACAAAAGAAGACGGAGCTCTGTCAACATGCTGAAAACTGTGTCCTTGCTGACGTGAAGGCTGCAATGTAGGACACAACATTGGGAAGTGACGACCAGTTTTCAAAACTGTAGCAGTCACACGCTACGGACACAGCGGAACCTTCTTCTGTCGCAGAGTAGCAGGACTAGCTACTTGCGCCGCAGCGACTTCGCTATAGAGATCCGTAGTTGAATATTGATGATAGTTAGTAGCTGCAGGTGACTGACTCGACTGAGTGGTGAAATGGTGCGGCTCTTATATATATATACTGTATACTGTAACAGAATGTTCTAGAATGATGTGCACATGTTAGCAAAGCACATGGTAGCATGTGGACAGTTAGACTGTTCTACAACTCCCTAGTAAGGTGTGATGATGCAAGTGATATCATATTAACACTATTAGTCCAGGAAGTTACTTGTAGAAGTTCTAGAAGCTTCCAGTAATGTAGTCTCCAACACTCCTTCTCACTTGCAAACGGAATGATCAATCACTTCTCTAACTCCAGCCATTCGCCTCAGTTTCACAAATTGTTCTCCATTGAGTCGCATGTCGGCTATCATGTCGTTTGTCCTGCAGTATCTCAGTTCCACGTTGTTGTTGTCGACCTGATCTCGAATGAAGTGGTACTGTATCGCTATATGCTTTGATCGACCAAGGAACTGTGGATTTTTCGCCATCCAGATCACAGACTGATTGTCTTCAAAAATGACAGTTGCACTCGTTGGCTCATTCTTGAGATCAGTGGTAAGTTGACGTAACCACATTGCTTCCTGTGCTGCACTTGCCAGTGCCATGTACTCGGCCTCTGCTGTTGACAGTGCTACACACATTTGCTTCTTGCTTCTCCAGCTGATTGCTGTTCCACCAAGCTGAAACAGGTACCCAGACATAGATTTGCGATCATCAAGGTCTCCACCCTAATCTGAATCTGAAAATCCAACACACCCAGTTGATTCGTTTCTGTTGTAGAGAAGACCATGGTTCAATGTTCCCTTGAGATAACGGAATATACGTTTCACAGCTATCCAATGCTGTTTTGCTGGGTTAGCAGAGTACTTTGCCACATTGCTCACTGTGTAGGTAATTTCTGGTCTTGTGGAATTTGACAGATAGAGGAGGCTTCCAACAGCTGATTGGTAGCATTGTTGATCAACACACTCCTCATCTTCTTTTGCTTTCATAAGCTTCATGCTGGTGTCGACTGGTGTGTTTACAGTCTTCACATTCTCCATGCCATATTTTTGCAAGTCACTAGTGGTATATGCCGGCTGTCCGATCAAGACGTCACCAGATTCCTTGTCTTGGACAACTTTCACCTGCAGGAAGTAGTGTAGCTCTCCCATGTCCGTCACCTGGAATTGGTTAGCAAGAGCTTCCTTGACTTCTGCCATACGTTGATCGCTTTTTCCTGCCAACACAATGTCATTAACGTACACAGCTATGATGAACATATCTCCTTCTTAAGCCCATGTAGAGACAGGGGTCAGTCACCCTTCGCTTGCACAAAACCCATTTGTTTCAATTTATTATCCAGTGCAGAGTTCCAGCAGCACGGTGATTGCTTCAGGCCATAGATGCTTCGTTTAAGCTTACAGACCAAGTCCTCCTGGCCCTCAGACACAAAACCTTCTGGCTGCTTCATGTAGACCTCTTCTTGCAACTCACCATTCAGGAATGCTGTTGTAATATCCATCTGGTTCATTTTCAGGCTGTTCTGCACTGCCAGTGCAATCACTGTACGGAGTGTCTCAAATCTGACAACTGCAGAAAATGTTTCATCGTAGTCGAGTCCTTGTTTCTGTGAAAACCCTTGAGCCACGAGACGAGCCTTGTGTCTCTCAACTAAGCCATCGGGGCCGACTTTGAGCTTGAACACCCACTTGCTGCCAACTGCCTTCCTGTCTTTGGGGAGTTTCACCAGGTCCCAAACATCATCCATGTGGAGTGAGTCCATTTCCTTGTCCATTGCATCCATCCACTTTACTCTTTCTGGGCTGGCTAGCGCTTCTGTGAATGTTGGCTCGTTCAAGACTTCACTTGCAACGTTTACTCGGACGCCGTAGTCGTCTGGAGGTTGTCTCTCCCTTGCTGATCTTCGTAAGACGGCTCAAGTTGCTCTT